CATATGGAGGCATCTGAATACTCGATTGGTAGCTGTTGTTGTAGGCAAACTCTGCAAGGGGCAAAAATTGATCCCAAGAACCCCTGAAATCCATGACACAAGCGCGTAGAATATTCTCCAATATTTGAATGGTACCCTCAGACTGTCTGTCTATTTGAGGGTGGAATGATGTACTCAACTCAACCCGTATGCCTAACTCTCATTGCACTACTCTCTAAAACTGTGATGTGAACTGCGTGCCTCGATCTGAAATGATAGACACTGGCACACCATGAAGGAGAACAATCTCGCGAATATAGATCTCAGCCAACTACTCCGAAGAATAGGTAGTCCCAACTGGAATAAAATGCACGGACTCAGCCAATCGGTGCACAATCACCCAAATAGCATCAAACTTCTTTAAAGTCCATGGGAGCCCAACTACAAAGTCCATGGTGATAAGATCCCATTTCCACTTCGGAATCTCAAGCCTCTGAACAAACCGCCCCACCTCTGATGCTTGCACTTCACCTACTGACAATTCAAGCACTGAGCTACAAACTCCACTATGTCTTTCTTCATCCTCCTCCACCAATAGTGTTGCCTCAAGTCTTGGTACATCTTTGCTGCACCCGGATGAATGGAATACCACTAACTGTAGGCCTCCTTAAGAATCAAATCACGTAACCCATCTACATAGGGCACACAAATCTGACCTTGCATCCGTAACACCCTTTAATCTCCAATAGAAACCTCTTTAGCATTGCCATGATGAACCAGGTCCCTAAGGACAAGCAAATGAGGATTGTCATACTGGCTCTCTCTGATGCGATTATATAAGGAAGACCGAGAAACCATGCAAGCTAGAACCCGACTAGGGTCCAAACCATCTAATCTCACAAACTGATTGGCCAAGGCTTGAACATCTAATGCAAGCAATCTCTCACCAACAGGAATAAATGCAAGGCTACTCATACTCATTGCCTTCCTAACTCAAGGCATCAACCACCACATTAGCCTTCCTAGGATAATACAAAATTATAATATCATAGTCCTTTAGATGCTCCAACCATCTTCGTTACCTCAAATATAGATCTTTTTTCTTGAACAAATGTTCCAGACTTCGATGATATGTAAATACCTCACAAGACATGCCATAGAGATATCCCTCCAAATCTTCAATGCATGAACGATGGCTACCAACTCCAAATTATGAATGGGGTAATTCTTCTCATGAGGCTTCAACTGGCGTGAAGAATAAGCAATCACTACACCCTCCTACATCAAGACACACCCAATACTTATCTGATAAGCATCACAATACACTATATAAGAACCTGATGCTTAAGGCAAAACCAGAACTGGAGCTGTGGTCAAGGCAGTCTTGAGCTTCTAAAAGCTCTCTTCACACTCATCTGACTACCTGAATGGAACACTCTTCTGGGTCAACCTGGTCAAAAGCACTGCAATGGACGATAAACCCTCCATGAAGCGATTATCATATCTGGCCAAGCTGAGAAAACTTCGAATCTCAGTAGCTGAAGATGGTCTTGTCCAACTCCAAACCACCTCAATCTTCTTCATGTCTACCTTGATCCCCTTACTGGACACCACGTTCCCCAAGAACGCCACCGTACTGAGCCAAAACTCACACTTGGAGAACTTGGCAGAAAGCTTCTCCTCCCTCAATCTCTGTAGTACAATCCTCAGATGTTGTGCATTCTCATATTGGCTATGTGAGTACACTAGGATATCATCAATAAATATTATGGCAAATGAATCAAGGTATGGCTAGAACACAATGTTAATCAGATGCATGAATGCTGTTGGGGCATTGGTTAACCCAAAAGACATCACAAGGAAAGCATAGTGACTATAACGGGTCCTGAACGCCGTCTTCAGAATATCCGAGTCCCGAATCTTCAACTGGTGATACCCAAACCTCAAATCAATCTTAGAGAACACCGTAGCTACCTGAAGCTAATCAAATAAGTCATTAATATGCAAAAAATGATACTTGTTCTTAATTATAACTTTTTTCAACTGTCTATAGTCAATGCATATCCGCATAATACCATCTTTCTTCTTCACAAACAGAACCAATGCACCCCAAGGCGACATACAAGGCCTAATGAAACCCTTATCAAGAAGCTCTTGAAGATGCTCTTTCAATTTATTCAACTTTGTAAGTGACATACGGTACAGAGGAATAGAAATGGGCTGAGTGACCGGCACCAAGTCAATACCAAAATTATTGTCCTGTGGAGTGGCATGCCCGACAGGTCTATTGGAAACACATCAGAAAGTCTTGCACTAATGGAATAGAATCAATAATAGGAGTTTCAACACCAACATCCCTCACAAAATCCAAATATGACAAACACCCCTTCCCAACCATCCGTATTGACCCCAACATTGACAACGTCACAACCTTAGCGTGACAATCCAGAATAACATGTCATAGGGAAAACCAATATATACTCATAATCATATCAAAATCAATCATACTAAGAAATAAGAGATCAACTCTAGTCACCAATTCCCCAATGGTCTCCACACATGACCGATACATAAGGTCCACAACAATATAGTCGCCTACCGACATAGATACATGAACAGGTGAAACTAAGGGCTAGCGAGGCATATCCAGATATCGAGGAAAATATGATGATACATATGAATAAGTGGAACCAGGGTCAAATAATAAAGAAGCATCCCTATGGCATACTGAGACAATACATGTGATCACTACGTCAGAAGCAACGACCTTTGGCCTAGCAGAGAAAGCATAACATCGAGCCTGACTTCCACTTGATCGGCCTCCCCCTATAAGTCGACCTCTAGTTGCCTGAGCCCTACCCCAAGCTAGCTCGGCGGGTGGTAAAGTAACCGGTGCAGAAGTCATAACCTGACCTCTCTGCTGAACTGGACCTCCAAAATAATGGGGACACTGCCTCCACACATGCCCAAACTCCCCGCACTCGAGCAACTCCTCGATGGTGGTGAAGGCTGAATCGAACCTCGAGAGCCAGAATAGCTACTAGAAGGACTTAGTACAGATGAACCCTAAACTGAGGGAGCATGAGATAAACTCTGTGCTGGAAGGGCACTAAGAGATGACTGACCTAGATGAGCACTGTATGAAACATCTCTAGCTGATGCATCACGACGAACCAGATGAGTCATCTAAGCGGGCCTATAAGGACGACCTTTGCTATGGTGGAACTGCCCTCCAGAAGAAACACTGCTGAAACCATCCACACCATGAAGCCTCTTGGCCTCCCTCTCCTCACTATCCTGACTATGGACCTGCTTTATTCGCCTAGCAATATCAACCACCTCGTCAAACCTAGCACCTGATGCAATATCCCGAGTCATGACAAAGCGCAGCCCATAGTTGAGGCCATCAATGAACCTCTTAATCCTCTCCTTCTCTGTGGGAACTAGTGCTTTATAAGGCGAGGGCGTGAGGTGAGGTATTTTACTTAATATGGGGCAAGGCAAAAGCCTCGAGACACGCCTCACGGATTTTTAATTTTTTAAATTTATGAATTAATAATATAGTATTATAACACAATAAAATATAACAGATGCATTAAAAGTTCAAGAAAACTAAAAAGAATTTAAGAAACTCATATAAAATAAAATATTTAGCATGTTTTACAAGTATAAATAATACAATACTGTTAAAGTTACTATCAAATATAAATTAACTCCAACCTCTAAACTTTCAAATAATTAAAAATTATAATTTCTTAAAAAATATTATCAAACTGCATATTTTATCTTTTTAAAAGTAAATACACAATAAATTTTTCAATACTATAAATTAAAATATTACTTCTTCATGAGTAAATATAAAATTATTTTTACATAGTACAATAAAAAAATGTATGATAATTTTGATAAACATAGAACTAAGACATGAAGATCTATCAAGTAAAGATATAAATTTTAGTTATCTATTTTTTGAAGAAATATTCAAATGATATTCACCCTCACGATGTTCTCAATTAGTAAATATGCAATAATATGTTTCGTTGTTTGAGTTATTCACAATTTTCATATTTCTATTGATAAAAAGAACTTTAATCAATCACTTGTTAAAGAATTTTGAGAGTTAAAAATGTAAATTAGTGAATTCAATACATGATTTGCATAGGAATTATTGGGCGAGTCCCCTACATTGAGCGTTAGGCATGTTTAGGACGCACTGTCGGGCACTTGGGGGCATAAGCCTCAGAGAACGAAGCCCCACACATGAGTCTCAAAGCATTTTGATAGTGCCCGCCCTAGGGCGAGCCTCGAGCCGAGTCCCAGAAAATCCTTTTAAAATAATGGTGGGAACCAACCAGACGCGGGACAAGTCAATTCTAAAAATCTAATCTCTTACTGGGTCATGGACAAATCCTCCTGGCGTAGCTGCTCAAAATACCTATGCAACTCCTCCTTGTGGACTATGGAACAAACTTCTCCAAGAAGAGAATGGATAACTCGTCCCACGTAAGTGGTGCAACACCGATCGACCTGCTCAACTTATAGGCCTCCCACCATCTGAAGGCTGCCTCTATAGCTGAAAAGTAGTAAATGAGACTCCACTAGTATCTAGAATACCCCCACACGAAGAATCCGCTGGCACCTGTCCAAGAAGTCCTAAGCATCCTCTGACTTAGCCCAACTTAATGATGGAGGCCTGAGCCTCCAAAACCGCTCTAGCCTCTTCTACTACACATCACTTATCGATGGACCCACCTAGGCCTGAAAATTGAAACCAGCTAGGTTCGTAGTGCTCCCAGTGTCTGAAGTTCCTGAACCACCTGCTCTGAAATACGGGAGACGGGAGTCTGAGCACCTCTCCTAGCCTGAGAAGTGGTTGGTGCGGCCTGGACTGAAACCGCATACGCAAGGCTAGTGCATATAGTCAATATCTGGGCCAAAGCCTCCTGAAGGCCTGGAATCACAATGGGCACATGTGGTGACTGAGGTGGTCTCACCAGCTCAACCACATTTGGGATATGCTCCTAAGCTGGAGCAACTGGTGGATCAATAGGTGCTTCTCTAACTGTTGTACGAGCTACTCCTTGGTCTCTACTGCAGCCCTGTCCTCTCGCTGACCTAGCTGGTGGTACTGGTGGCTGTCCGCCGGAATTAACAAATCCGCATGACAAGAATACAAGTAGACGTCACTGTACAGATCTACTAAACTTGTTCATGACTCGTAAGACCTATGTAATCCAGGCTCTGATACCAACTTGTCATGGCCCAAAACTCAACATGTCATGATGGTGTCTATCACAGTACTAGGCGAACCGACAACCACAAATAACTACACATTTTTAAATTAAAAACAAGATGAAATAGGTTTAGCAATAATAAATCTCATGAATAGTTGATAGGAAAACCTGCGACTCAAATATAAAATTCCCAAAATTTGAGTATCACAGAGTACATGAGCATCTAAATGACAATACAGTCAATACTTCAAATACAACTGTCTTGAAAGGAAGAATAATGCTAAATAAAGGAAATCAATGAGAGTCAAGATCTGCGGACGCCAAAGCAACTACCTCAAAAGTCTCCAAGTAGATGAAACTCCAAATAGCAACCGCCATGCCCAGAAGTACCTGGATCTGCACAAGAAGTGTAGAGTGTAGTATGAGTACAACCTGTGAGAATGCACGGGAGAAAAAATATATTATTGATTAATTATGACAATGATACAATGAGCCCTATTTATATATAATACATGTCCTACTCCTAATACATATGGGATTAGAGTTATTTACTACTATTTAACTATCAAACTAACACTCCTCCTCAAGCTGGTGCATATAAATCATATGTACCGAGCTTGTTACATATATAACTAATACGAGGACCAGTGAGGGACTTGGTGAAAATATCAGCAAGCTGATCATTCGACTTCACAAATTTTGTAGCAATATCTCTTGAGAGTATATTTTCTCTACCAAAGTGACAGTCAATCTCGATGTGTTTAGTTCTCTCATGGAACACTAGATTTGACGCAATATGAAGAGCAACTTGATTATCACACACAAGTCCCATCTGACTAATCTCACCAAATTTCAACTCCTTGAGCAACTGTTTGATCCAAATTAGCTCACATGTCGCCATAGCCATTGCTCGATATTTTGCTTCTGCACTAGACCGAGCAACCACATTCTGTTTCTTATTCTTCCAAGACACCAAATTTCCTCCTACTAAGACACAATATCCAAACGTAGACAGTCTATCAGAAGGTGATCCTGCCCAATCAGCATCTGAGTATCCAACGATCTGCTCATGACCTTGATCCTTAAACAATAAGCCTTTGCCTGGAGCTGATTTTATATACCGAAGAATGCGGACAACTGCATCCCAATGACTATCACAGGGAGAATCCATACTGACTCACAACACTCACAGGAAAGGAAATGTCAGGTCTAGTCACTGTGAGGTAATTTTATTTATCAACCAACCGCCTATATCTTGCAAGATCGCTAAGAGGCTCCCCTGTCCTGGGAGAAGTTTAGAATTCAGATCCATCGGAGTGTCAACAGGTCTACAACCTGTCATTCCTGCCTCCTCAAGAATATCTAAGGAATACTTCCGTTGTGAGATCGCAATACCTGAGCTAGGCTGAGCGACCTCAATACCCAGAAAATACTTTAATCTGCCCAGATCCTTAGTCTGAAAGTGCTGAAAAAGATGTTGCTTCAACTTACTAATACCATCCTGATCATTGTCGGTAATAACAATATCATCAACATAATCGACCAGATAAATGCAAAGATTTGAAGCAGAATGTCGATTAAATATAGAGTGATCAGCTTCACTACGAGTCATGCCAAACTCCTGAATAACTGTGCTGAACTTACCAAACCAGGCTCGAGGAGATTGATTTAGACCATAGAGGGACCGACGCAACCGACATACAAGGCCACTAGACTCCCCCATGAGCAACAAACCCAGGTGGTTGCTCCATATAAACCTCATCCTCAAGGTCACCGTGAAGAAAAGCATTCTTAATGTCCAACTGATATAGAGGCCAATGGTGAACAGTAGCCATGCATAGAAAAAGGCAGACTGATGCAATTTTAGCCACGGGAGAGAAAGTATCACTGTAGTCGAGTCCAAATATCTGAGTGTATCATTTGGCAACAAGACGAGCCTTAAGTCTATCAACCTCACCATCTGGACCAACTTTAACTGCATACACCCAACGACAACCAACAGTCGATTTACTTGAAGGAAGAGGAACAAGCTCCAAAGTACCACTTGTATGTAAAGCAGACATCTCGTCAATCATAGCCTATCACCATCCGGGATAAGACAGTGATTCACCTGTAGACTTATGGATGGAAACAAAGGACACGGATGATACAAATACAAAATGAGATGATAAGAGACGATGGTAACTTAAACTGACATAATGAGGATTAGGATTAAGTGTGGATCATATACCTTTCGTAGTGCAATCGGTTGATTAAGAGGAGACAAGTCCGTAGTATTAGCAGGGTCAGGTGTAGGACGTGAATTAGCTGGGCCTGATGATGGGGGCGGACGATGATGATAAGTCAGGAGTGGTGGAGTTGTAGAAGGTTGAACTGGACTAGGTGGTGGCACTGGAGCTATAGTTGGTGGAACTGGACTAGGTGGTGGCACTGGACCTATAGTTAGTGGAACTGCAACTGGAACTGTAGGCGGTGGAGCTATGGAGGAAGATGAATGGGAGATAGGGACTGAATCTCCAAAAGAAGGAACAGGTAGCACCTCAGAAATATCTAAGTGATTAACTGGACCTATGAAGTATGATTGGGTTTCAAAGAAGGTAACATCAGCAGACATAAGAAATCGCTGAAGGTCAGGAGAATAACATCGATATCCTTTTTGCTTTCTTGAGTAACCCAGAAATATTCACTTAAGAGCACGAGGAGCTAACTTATCTTTTTCTGGAGTAAGGTCATGAACAAAGCACGTACTCCCAAAGACACGGGGTGGAAGAGAGAACAAAGGTAAGTGGTGAAACAGGATAGAGAATGGAACTTAATTTTGGATAGCTGAAGATGGAATACGACTAATAAGATAACAAGATGTAAGAACTGCATCCCCCCAAAAATGCAGCGGAACATGAGATTGTATGAGTAAAGTACGAGAAGTTTCAATAAGATGTCTATTCTTTCTTTCAGCTGCCCCATTTTGTAGGGATGTGTACGGACAAGATGTTTGATGAATAATCCCATGGGAGTTCATAAACTACTAAAATGGGGAAGACAAATACTCTAGGGCATTATCACTACGAAATGTGCAGATAGAAACCCCAAATTGATTCTGAATTTTAGTGTGGAAGGTCTGAAAAATAGAAAATAACTCGGATCGATTTTTCATCAAAAATATCCAAGTGCACCTAGAATAATCATCAATGAAACTGACAAAGTAGTGGAATCACAAGGTAGAACTGACCCGACTATGACTCCAAACATCTGAATGGACTAAAGTAAAAGGTGACTCTGCTCGATTATCGAGACATCGCGGGAAATGGGAGCGGGTATGCTTACCGAGCTGACATGACTCACACTCTAGAGTGGACAAGTGAGATAAGCCAGGTATCATTTTCTGAAGTTTTGACAAACTGGGATGTCCTAACCGTTTATGTAATAAATCTGGTGAATCAGTAATGGGAGAAGTTATTGGAGGAAGACAAGATGCGAGTCCATGTGATTTTGAAAGGATAAGGTAATAAAGTCCATCTGATTCACATCCGGTACCAATGATCCGCCCTATATTGCGTTCCTATATAAAAACAAGGTCATCAATAAATAAAATAGCAGATTTAAGGGATTTGGCTAAGCGACTAATGACTATGAGATTAAAAGGACTACCAGGAACATAAAGAACGAAGTCTAAAAGTAAGGAAGGAAGTGGACTTGCTTGACCTATGGCAGTTGCCATGGCTTGAGACTCACTGGCCATTGTGACTGTTGGAAGAGATTGAAAATTTGAAATACAAGTGAAAAGAGATTTGTTACCAGAAATATGATCAGATGCATCTGAATCAATGACCCAAGACTCAGAAGGTGAAGATTGGGAGACACAAGTCTTGCCACTATTTATTGGAACAACGGAGGCTAATCCTAAAGATATTTGTTTACGTGCTTTGTACTGAATGAACTCAATATAATCCGGTAAAGAAACCATCTGGATGGGATTCAATGCATTGGATCCAACGGATTGTGAGTTAAAGGCTTCCGATACGGATGCCATTATAATATCGTGTCAGAAAAAGCAGAAATTTTCTGGGGAACATTGTTCACGCCGAAAAAATCACTATAGATGCCGGAAAAATCAGTGTAGTCGTCGAAAAAACTCAAAGTGGTCGGAATCAAAAGAAAACAGGATGGGTAGGTCGGAATTAGTAGCCGACCCAACTGTTCTGAAGAACCATCGTCAAAAAATGGCCGGAAGTGGTCGTACTCGCCGACGCGTGGGTTCACGCACTTGCCGGAAAAAATTTGATTGCCGGCATGTGGAGGCGCATGGCAGCTTTTCTGCCGGAGAAATTTTAGTGGGTTGGTCGTCGAGGAGTGATCTACCTCATGGTGGTGTTGGTTTTTGCACAACACCGACAGAAAGTGACTTAATTACGGGCAGCCTTCTAAGTTGCCGAAAAATTGCACGGCGACAAGGTCTTTCTTCCCGGAAGTCGCTGGAATGATGCACATCGATAGGTTTCTCACTAATACTCTAATACCATGTGAGAATGCACGGGCGAAAAGATATATTATTGATTAATTATGACAATGATACAATGAGCCCTATTTATATATAATACATGTCCTACTCCTAATACATATGGGATTAGAGTTATTTACTACTATTTAACTATCAAACTAACACAACCAACCCAATGTACTCAATAAGTAACATGACTAACCTTGGGCTGAAAGCAACTACGAGCTTAGAAAGGTACAGTCTAAATCTAGATAATAACAACACAAATATGACAGGAAAATGAATGTAATAACTCGGAGAAAATCTCATAAGCAGTTTGTAGACAATATAGAAATGTAGACATGCTTTCAATTATTTAACAGTTTGATCTCAACATGGATAAATATTCCAAGTATGACTAATATGAGGTATGTTACATATCGATATTTATGTGTCAAATATGCATGTCAACTATAATGCAACACAATGCTAAAGGCATATACTCATACTCTCGGAGTATTCAACCTAACTCAGCATGCTCAATCATTTAGCACTTTCAATCACTCCGCACTCGTACTCGGTACTCGCACTCATCGATGCCTGCGCTCACTGTTGGTATGTCAGACTCCGAAGGCGCAGATCGTGCACAAGCACTAATATAAGCCAATTATGGCATGCTTCGGTGTGTAGCCCGATCGCATAAAAATCACTCACTATCAGGCCCTCAGCCTCACTCAGTCATTAATATTTTTAGTCTCTCGGCCTGACAAAACTCATGCCAACCAACCCAAAATAGTGATACATGATGTAACAATAATGATAACAGAGACTGAGATATGATATGTAAATGATGCGACTGAGTACATAACTGTAATTTAAGAAAATAACTCATCAATAAAAATGACATATGTGGGGCCCAACAGTACCAGCATATAGCTTAAACGTGATTTCTAACATGAATCAAAACTCAATTTCTCTAACACATGGAGAATGCATGAATAATAACAAGATTAGGTCTCTACACATTTCCAAAGAATCAAACGAGTCAAATTATTACGGTGCATGTCCACACACCAATAGCCCATCACCTAGCATGTGAGTCACCTCAATACCAACCACATAATACGTAGTTAAGGGATTCATACGCTCAGAACCAAGTTTAGAAGTGTTACTTACCTCAAATCATGCAAATCTCTACTCCAAACAAGCCTTTGCCTCGTGAATCGCCCTACGTGCAACTCCAATATAGCCACAAACAACTTAATACAATCAACAAAAGCTATAGGAATCAATTTCACACGATAAAGCTAGGTTCTTTAACTAAAGTAAAAAAATTCAACCCAAAAAGTCAATCCCAAGCACACATCTCAAAATTCGATAAAATTAATAAAATTCGAACACCCATTCAACAACGAGTTCAACCATACTAAAATTACTCAATTCCGATCTCAACTCAACCTTCAAATCCTCAAATTATAGTCGATGAAGTTTCACAAATTTTCCCCAATTTTTCCAACCCAAAACACTAATTAAATGATGAGAACAATGATAGATTCACTTATATTAACCAAATCCAAGTTAGAATCACTTACCCAATTAACTCCTTAAAAATCCCTTCAAGAATCACCCAAATTCGAGGTCTCTAACTCAAAATACGAGAAATGGATTCAAACCCTGGATTTTGATATTTTCATAGTCTGCCCAGTGATTACACATCGCGATCGCAGACAAATCTATGCAATTACAAAGAACAAAATCCTCATGGGCCAAAAACCTTCTACACGAACGCACCCCCAATCTCGCGAACTTCTCAACTCTCCAAACTTCTATTTTTTCAACTTTCGCCAATTCAATCTAGAATGACCTACGGGCCTCTAAATACGTATCCGAACACACTAAGTCAAAAATTACCATACGAAGCTATCAGAACCATCAAAAATTCATTTCGGAGTCATTTGTATATAAATCAACATCCAATCAACTCTTTCAACTTAAGCTTCCAACCTTGGGACTAAGTGTCCCAACTCATTCCGGAACATCCCCGAAACCAAATCAACTACCCTGGCAAGTCACATAACAACAAACAAACACATAATAAGCAATAAATGGTGGAACGAGGCTACAATACTCAAAATGACTGGCTGAGTCGTTACAAAGAAACTGACCAACTTTGGTCGGTTTTTCATTTAAAACAAATTAAAATTAATATTCATAAAACTGACTGAAATCGGTCGGTTATTTTGATCGGTCATTTTAAAAATCAACCGATTTCGATCAGCCAATTTATTTTTTGAATAAAACTGACTGAAATTTGTGGGCTATTTTTTGCGCGAAAATGCAACTAAAGAGTATAAATAAAATAAAATAACATCTTAATCTAAAATGCAACAATGATCTAGTGGTAGCATAGTATCCTGTCACAGTACCCCGTTTCAATTTTCAGATGGTGTATTTTTAATTGCATAATTAAAAATATCGATCGACTTCGGGTCGATTTTTTTGGCAAATATTTTCTTTTTTGGTCGTTTGTGAAATTTAATTGACCAACTAAAATTGGTCGGAGAATACCAATTGAAGTTGATCGGTTGGCTCTACCGGCCACACGATTGCTGACCGCCATGAATCGGTCGATTTTTATCAATTACTGATCAATATCGATCAATTTTGGTAATCGATTTTCCCTTTTTTTTTAGTAGTGATACCCATTCTGCTTCTACTTGGTTATACATATTAATAGGGTGAATAAAATATTTCAAACATCAAGGCAATAACCAATGGAATTGTCTCCAGTATTAAACTTTGCCAAGTAAGTATCCAACTTAAAAAGTACTTTAACCAGCTCATACTCATAGTTTTAAAATAGTACTCAGAACAATGTGATAACAGAGGCCAAACACAAATTTTGTTAATTTTCTATATATACCCATTGACAACTTACGTTTGGGCTGCATAATTTTACTATCCGCGCTCATAATAGGGACTAAACTTAACTTTCTACCCTGATCATATTAATAAAATTTGTACCATAATCATACCATGATCCACTTGTTCCTGATATTAATTAGTTGCCAATCCTTGAGACTGAGATGAATATCTACGTGGCTTAACAATTGGACAAATATCACTAGATATATTTTAATCAAATTCTTGAAATTGTTTCTTCTTGGAGTTAATTACTAGAATGGTCCACTTCGTCTTGTTGCAAGTGTCTGCCTTCAATGATGCTGCTAATATTGGCACCAAGCAGAAGAAACCTCATACCTTTAGTTTGCTAATTAAGTACGTGTTTTTTTGGGTTTAACCATTTATTATTCGAACTCTATTCGTCATACTAAATTGGATTTGCACCGAGTAGGCCTACTAAGGATGTAGAACGCTCCATGCTAAAAAGTTAAGGATTGAATAACGATCACTACTATCTCATCATACCGCTAATTTGTTTAACTGTCCATTATCTTCCTTCCCCTCGCATTCTGTAACCCCTCCTGTTCGAGTATGCATGTATTTTTCAACTTATAACCACAAGAGTTCAGAAGTGGATATCAACGACCTGGTCTCTTAAGTAAAATGCAGTACCTGTTAATTTTGTTAGAACAAACATGCACGTACATTACATCTAGCATTTCTCAATAGCTTGTACTCCCTCCGTTTTATATTAAATGAGGTAGTTTGACTCGGCACGAAATTTAAGAAAAAAGAAGATGTGATGACCATCACTTGTTTTAAAACGAAATTCTGTGTTTTGAGACCTTAAAAACCTCATTCAAAGTCACCTAGATTTGTGTGCGCAGTCCGGGTGCGTAGCCGGAAAGCTTAAATATGAAATTCTATGAAAAATAATAAATTTTGATTATAAGATGAGTTAATTTGACTTCGGTCAACGTTTTGGGTAAACGAATCCGGACCTATGATCTGACGGTTCCGGAGGGTCCGTAGGAAAATATGAGACTTGGGCGTATGCCCGGAATCGAATTCCGAGGTCCCAAGCCCGAGAAATGAATTTTTAAAAGAAATTGTTTATGAAACTGTTTAAGGAAAATTTAAATGAAATTTTCTTAGAACATGATGGTATCGGGCCCGTATTTTAGTTTCGGCTCCCGGTACAAGTCTTATATATGGTTTAAGTCATTTCTGTAAAGTTTGGTTGAAACCGGACGTCGTTTGACGTGATTCACACCTAAATTGCTAAATTTGATACTTGATAAAGTTTTAGGAAAAAGTTCTTGATTCTGAGGTTTGATTCATTGTTATTGAGGTTATTT